AGTTTTTAAAGAGACTTCTTAATGCTTAAAGAGTAAAGCAATGTTTGTATATCACTTCAAATAGTGAAGGCATTATATGCTAGGAATAATATTTTGATGTAGGGGATAAAGAGGAAATAATTATGGTATAAAAGTAGTAATGTGGCAATGGCAGTAGTAATAATGAGTGGTGCGGATGGCAGTGATTGTAATAATGATAGGATACCGTCACCGAATGTAAATGAGAGTGCACCATTTCGTGGTATTATCTATGACAATTGGTTTGATAAATATCGAGGAACGATAGCATGTATTGTCGTTAAGCACGGAGCAGTGAGGCGTGGTGACACGATAAATTCATTTCATTCAAGCAGAAGCTACGAAGTTAGTGAAGTTGGCATTATGCATCCACTGATGGTGCCTGTTCAGGTTACTCTTATATTCGCTTTCATTATTCTTTTCTTTTCACTATGATATCATCTTAAAACAGTTTTCTTTTGTTATAGCCAAGTAATATGAATTTGAAGTTACTCACCCGTAATCTGTATTTTCTAGTGAAAAACTGGTAAGAGAGGAGGTTACGATAGCTCAAAGGTTTGAAGTGGCTTAAATCCACCCTTAACATTAGGCCAGCTGTTAGGCTCAAATAATGTCTTACAGTCATTCTTGTTTATATGATCACCATTTTTATTCAAAAATTATATATTTATCCGAATGAACGAAATTAAAATTTCAGCAGCTTAGCGCGGGTCAAGTTGGCTATCTGATAGCGAATATGAAAAGTGCTAAAGAGACACACGCTGGTGATTTACTGTATAGTGGTGATAAAGTGGATGGTGTTGGTGTTGGTGAGGACACAAATATGAAACAGTTTCAAATCAGAACGTTTAAAGCAACAAAACCAACAGTTTATGCTGGTTTATATCCACTTGATGCGAGCGACTATGATTCATTAAAACAATCTATCGAGCAATTATCACTGAATGATCCATCTGCTGTCATAAATTCTGACTCAAGTAATGCGTTAGGTTTGGGATGGCGTATTGGCTTTCTTGGATTATTACACATGGAGGTTTCTACTTAATCACAAATCATCATAAAATTTTGATTTATTGTAATTCTCATCCAAAATTTGTGTCGTTTCTCGAACTGATTCGTCGGTTCGTTTAATGAGCTTTGTTTTGAAATTATAAAATGATATTTTTNTGGCACCGATGTGATCGTTAATGATAATGGTAATTTCAGGTTTTTAGTAGCAGACTGGAGCAGGAGTATGGTGCAGATGTGATTCTTACGTCACCGAATATCGAGTATCGTGCAATAATCAAAGACAACGAAACCATTCGAAAGAGAAGGTTTCGTTTTGTTTTATTTTGCACTGCTTTTATTGTGATATGGTGAATGTTTACCGTTAGTCAATTCAGGTACGAAGGAAAGGGTGAGATTCGTATAATGGATGCATCGAAATTTCCGAGTCCAAGTGATGTTGAACGATTTCTGGAGCCAATGATAACATTAACCTTAGTGATACGGAATGAGCATTTGGGTGTTGTGAACTCAATATGTACAAATGCTCGCGGTCAGCGTCAAGATATGCAGTCAGTCGATGACAAAACCATTTCTTTGGTTTGGCGAATACCATTATCGGAGGTTTTGGTGGATTTTTTTGAAAGGTTGAAACGAATCACTAGGTAATAGTTATGGTTTTAATGAATTCGTTCATTCTTTCTAAATGTTTTTTTAATTTTTTTATTCAGTCAGCAATTACGTCTCATTAGGAGTGTGTACGTAGCTGCTGTTGTATTTAACTCAAAAATTTGTTGTGATTTGTTTGAGTGTTTTCGAATATGTATGTAAGTGTTTATATTTATGTGTTATTCTATNAGTAACGGTTCAGTTAGAAGATAACTGAATGAAGTTGTTCTCTTTTCAAAACGACAGTGGTTATGCGTCATTTGATTACGAACTAGACGGGTACGATGAAGTAAATTTAGTCAAAATGAGTATCTCAATCAACGATGTAATCGTCAATGAATTTTCACAAGTTATTCCCGCACCAATGGCGAAAGAACGTGCTAAATTAATCGTTTCCAGCCTCAAAAAGGTTCATTATTCAACCGCATTTATTTCACTATGCCAGAAATTATTTTCATTTATTCTATTAAAATTATGTCTATCAATGTGTTTGGTTCAAGAAGGAACAAAGAAAATTAAATTTCAAGGCGAATGTGATTATCGAAATTGTTTCAAGGAAATTCCACGTCAACAATTCGAAGTGACTATTCGTGCAAGAGTGGGAGATTCGTCGAAGACCATAACACAAGCGTATATTGCACCGATTCGAAGGGATTTCACTCAGTTGCTGAAAGGCAATTTTGGAGGTGAATTTTGCGCGAGTGATAATATTTCCATGAGCGATATTTCCGGTGTCGTTATCGCTATCATTCAGTCGATACTTTGCAATCAAACACCGTCGTTTTTAGTGAATTTGAAATCGCCACCATTTATTGCGGTGTTCATTCTTCATCCAAAATTACTTAAAGCGTTGTTCCACCATTCTTTATTCAAAAATTTCGTTTCAATGAAGTGTTTCGATGCAATAACTGAGTTACGATGGATGAATTTTGATGACATTTTAATGAAATTGGCGGCGATTGTTTTGTGATTATGTGATTGAAGACTTTCAAACGGAATGATGAACGAGTGGATCGTTAATATAGTTGAGGGCTGAAAGCTGACAAATTTTTTGTTTTTTCGGTGCCAGCGATCTTTCTTTACTATTGAACTGTAAGAAATATTTGAGGTGGTGGTATGGAGCGATTGCAGAAGAAACTTGCACATCAAAAGAAGGGAAAGCAACGAATGAAGACGATTGGTCGCGTTCAAATACCAAAACAAGCATTCATAAATGTTCTTCGAAACTGAAATAAATTCATTCGATTCCATATCGCGATGTTGAATATGTCTGTAATTTATTTGTCTGTAATATGTATTTGTATAAACGGTGTGTTATAATAATAAAACATTAGTGATGTTTCGGATAGTGGCCACATGTTATTGTTTTCCAGTGGTGTTGTTTTCAGTTGTCTTTCAAGATTGCAGTCGTGGAATTAATGAATTCTTGCAGTGGGATGGGGTGAATCCAAACATTCGCAGCTTTCAAATGTTTCTGTTACCTCGTGTTACTTTGCAACCTGGCTCAATACGATATAATCCCTCAATTTTGAGCTTTGAAAAGGGTTTTTTCTTTCGAATTCTGAAGCTTCTCATTGTGAACTCGTTTTGATTTTCAATGGTTAGTCGTTTCGTTTATAAAAGACGTCTTGTTTCTCATCAATTGAAGGCATCAGTGGCTACGGAATGCCACAAATCAAGTGGTGTTGTCTGCACGCCTAATGCATGCTAAGAAATAGCCGATGGCAATTGAGCGGTGAGAGAGAAGAAGTGATGCGGTAGTGTGAGAGCTGATTGGAGGAAGCATTTGATTGGTTGCTGACATAACATTACTGTAACGGCTACGGGATCTTCGGACGAGTTCAACATTGCGTTAAAAATAGAATCAACCAAAAAATCCATCCTGAGACGATCGTCTTCATCGATTGAGTTGGTAAATCAAGCGATTGGCTCAGGTGAGTATTATTTTTGATGCTCATACGCTTTTCAAAGCAGTCATTTCGTATGAGTCATGTTCGCCCTCAGTTTTCTACTACAGTATACCATTACAAACTAAACACAGCGATTCCGAAGTGATTCCTTCCATTACGAACTATTCGTTCAGTTCAGTTCATGTTCATATACTCAACTTTTTTCGTTATATAGACTAATTAATTTTGATTATGTGATTAATTACTCACATTGATTGCGCTAATGATAATTAATTTGCGTGAAATTAACGGATTCAGCTTATACATGAAGTATAATTGAGCTCTTTCCTGAAAAGTTGCTTTATCAGCGATAAATTTGTGTTTTATCGTCATTTCTCGTACTTTTATTGATAATTTGCGTGAATTTGTACTTTGAATTGATTTGCATTGATAATTTGTACTTTTAAATAAGTTATTCGATTAACTGTAAATATCGCAGATTCGGCATTCACCAATTTTGCTTTTCAGTAACGTTCCTCATTCGATGGAACGATAATGATGCTGACAATAAGTTAGGTTCTTCAGGTTTTTGATGAAATATCCTAAGAATGTTGAGTTCCGCAAGAGGTGATTGAAATGTTTTCGTTTCTCTTCGTTGTTGACGACTTTCTCGGCCTGCCGAATGCGTTTTTTGTAATGTGCTCTGATAGATCTTTATTTCCAACTATTACGTATGTTTCAGTTCCTTAATGGACGTTGGAAGTCGGTGGATCACTTTTCGCGGCGACAATTCTTCATCGACAATACAGGCCAGTTAATTTTTTTCTTTTTTTATTATATTCCTTTTTTCATAGACCTTAGGTCCATTAGATAGGTGAATGGGAGGAGAAGCATTCTGAGTTCTTTAATTTTGTTTTGAATGGCTGCACTGGCATGTAAAAAAAAGAACCATCCCTGTAAAAATGAGC